CAAAAAGTATAATTGTCCAGTGAACTTTTTTCTTAAAAACTCCTTGTCTGTTCACACTTTTTATCTGATTTCCCAAAAATCAGCCCAGCTTCATTCTTTTTTTAAAAAAATTTTTTTTATTTACTTATGTATACAAGAACTGGGGTACAGGCCAGAGATGTGGGGGTTGGTGAGAGGATTCACCAGAGATAGAGTGGGTAGAGGAATAGGAATAGGCAGATCTACTGAAATACACTACTAAGGGGAGCTGTGCCATGTGGTTTTCATTTGATAGCACTGTCTTTAACCCCTGCACCACCAGGGAGGCCCAGAAATAAGTGAGATATTTTTTATTTTTTAAACATTTATTTATGCATATAGAGCTGGGGTACAGAACAGAGATGTGGGGGGGGGTGTGAAAGGATACACCAGAGACAGAGTGGGGAGCAGAACAGGCAGACTGACTGAAATACACTGCTGAGGGGAGCAGCCGGAAAGACAGGAGAGGTCTGCTGCGCCATGTGGGTTGCTTTCTGGCCAGCCAGGGATTGAACTCATGCTGCAGAGGCTGCGGATTGCTTCATAGTGCAGTGCTTAACACTTTGTGCCACCAGGGAGGCCCAAAGTGACATATTTTTTAAATGACAGGATTCCAACATCCCCTTTTCTTCTACTTGTATGTGCATTTGTCAGTGGTTCTTTTGAGCTGTCTGAAATCAAACATAACATTCCTGTGGGAAGGTTACACTCTGGAATCAGAAATGACTCAAATTCAGCTCTAGCACTTAGCAGCACAGCTTTGGGCAAGTTATTTAAACTGCCTGGGCAAATTCATCACCATTTATTAAATATCGTGACATATAAGAGCTATGTCACACAGAATTATTTGCATCATGGCAGCATCATTGTTTGAGCTCCAATCCCACCTCTTCTTCTGGGGTCTGTGCTTACCTCTCTTCCCTCTTTCTTCTCTGTGTTTTTGAGCATCTACTTACTAACAGAACATTGCTGGATGGAAAGATGGGAGACACTGCTGCAGAAGCACCCAGAGTCATGTTGGGGACACAGACACATAAATGATGACAGTGAACTATGATAAAGGCCCTAATGGAGGTGGGGGTCAGATTCAGCGAGAGCCCAGAGGAGAAGCTCCTCGATGATTCTGGATCAGGACCAGATAGTAAGGAAGAACCAAGGAGGGGTTTGGTGAAGAGGTTCCCACCCACTTAGTGCTGGAAGGTTGAGTCTCCAGGGAAACCAAGGGAAAATTCGAGGCCCAGAGTTGCGAGTAAGAATATAGCCTGCACATGCCAAAGGATGAGGGGAAATGGCTTACTCAGGGACCACAGGCCGTTCATTGTGCTTGCAAACCAGAAGTCCTAGGAGTGAATCACAGAGAGGTGTTGAGAAGGAAGCACGGATTAGAATGGCAAGGCCTTCTATACCACACCAAGATCTGATATCATACCAGTATGGAATTTGCTGGCTGGAAAGATCCTTCTGCCATCAGAGGAGAAATCTGATAGAGCCACAAAAAAACAAAAGCAGGGACATGATTTTAGAAGCTCTGCACAAAGCAGTGGGAAATGAAGTAGCAGTGCTCAGAGCCAGGCAGCTGACTTGTAGACATGCGAACAACTAGGAACATACATCATTTACTGGTGGAGTGTCAGGGGCTGTGGGAGGCTGAGTATGAAGGCACTGAAACAAAGGTAGACCAGGAGCCATGAACCTAGAGGGTGAATCAGAGGAGGAGTTGGCTTGGGAGTGTGTCTATGGGGTTGGAAGTGGAGAAAGCAGGGGTAGAGAGTTCAGTTTTAGATGTCTGAGTCAAGGGGTAAAAGAAGGAAAGGTGAGGAAGGGGAAAAGAGGCTTTGCTTTCCACCAATGTGCCCATGGAAGGGCTTGTGAAGATGTCTACTTGCTTCTGGAGGCTCAGGAGGAACTTTGGGAGCTTTTGGGCATGGTAGTCTCCATTTCTCTGAGTAGTTGGTGGCAATGCAAATTTCTGAAGGGCAGGAGGGCGAGGAATCAACCTGAGGACAGTGGTAAGGTTTAGAACAGCTTTATCAAGTGAGTGAGTAGCTGATCCTGTGCCTGAAGAACTATGCTTGAGGAACTGTGCTTGAGACTGTAAGAATAGAGAGGCACCGCTTCTGTCATTTGTGTTTCTCTCCAGTTGTCCCAGGCATGCTTTCCAGAGGCTAGACAAGGGCTGGACACATCTTGTTTGCAACCTTGATATCACTGAGCAATGCACTGCCAAGAGAGGTTGCAAAACCAGGCTGTTTTAAACGTTTATACTCAGCCAGTGAATGCTGCTAACACACAATGCTTGCAAGGCAATATAATTATGCTACTCATCAGATAATACCAGCATTTACTTAAAATGTCAATTCACAATGGATAGGTAATTGGACAAAGTTTAAAGTTCTAAAATAAATGCCTTCTTATCATCTCTGGGATGATAATCTATAACCATTAAAAATGTCAAAGTATCAAAAGTTTTGATGGAAGCTTTTAATGAATGAGAGTCAGCGTCCCCATAAGTTTAGGTGTTGGAATGGAACAAAACATGACTGGAATAATCCAGTTTAACAGATGCAGTACACTGAAATACACAGAGCAAAAGAATAGAGGGCATAGATGATTATACGAGATTGAAACAATGAGTTATAATATTGAAATTGAATTAGAAAAGAAGTAAAGCAGGAGGGAGTGATAGGTTGGTAGCAAAGAGAAGAGGTTAATAGTAACTCAGGTTAATAGAAATCAAGTAATAGTAAATCAGGTGTGAAGAATGGAACCAGAGAACCAAACACTATCAAGAGAAAAATAAACATTTTCCAACTGGAATATTTCGATGATGACAGAGTGTGGACATAGGAGCAGGTGGCTAAAACAGTAGAGTGGAGATGAGGGTACATTGTAATTGAGAGTTGAAGTACTTGTAGGACTGAATCTTTCACATAGTGGTCTTCAGGGACACTGAAAATGACATAGGAAAACTGATGGTGGGTGTCTGTAGGAAAACAACTCCCACCTAAAGGTGCCCTAAACTGGTAATGGGTCTTAAAGGGGAACTAGAGAGTAACAGAGTGGGGACCAAGAAATTGAGTATGTGTTATCTTTATCTTTTAGTAAACTCTGATTGATATTTTATAGATGAGGAACAGTAAATTTCAAAATCTTCACTGATGCTACAGAAGTGCTGACAGAACTTCAAATCACTCCAGAGTTTCAATCCTCTAATCAAAGTAATTTTGTTCTCAATTTAATGGCAGGTGAAACAATATTGAACAAAGCAACCTCTACTGTACCCTAAGCCCTTTAATTATAGTGTCCATGTAGTAAATGTTCTAGTAAAGCAACAGATTCCATTACAATCCTAGGTTTTCAATCAGTTTGGTTCTTCACACATTTTTTTTTTCAGGTGACGTTTTGAATACATAGTTTTTGCCCATAGTTTTGTTTGTGTGGATTGATTATTGGATATGAGAGGAAGAGTCTGTTCATAGGGAGCCTTTGGGGGTTGCTGCAAAGGAGAAGCCATGTTACCTGTGAATTGATCTGTGAACATGGGGCAGTGTGACTCCCTACTCACTACGCACACAACACTGGACTTAAGTGCTTACTCATGTCCACCTGCTGATTTTATGTGCATCACTGATTTATGAAATAGGTGTTACTACCTCTAACCTCAATACTGAAGAAATTAAAGAACAGGAAATAAGTTATTTGTCCAATGTCTCACAGCTAGTGAGGTAGAACTGGGATCTGAATTCAAGCCTAATTTCAGAACCTAATGTTTGTGATTAAACACACTTGACCTTTGGGGATGGGGTGGAGATAATCCAGGAAGGAGTCATTGAGGAGAATTCCTTTCTTCAGTGGGAGTTGGGGTCCAGAACAGTTGATTAGAATCTGCCATATAAACTATGGTAGAGTTCCCTCTTCAGAATTCTCCAGGGCAAGTCCTGGCTGGAACAGGAGATTATCTTTTTGCTCAGGGGACCTTTTCTTGCTTAATCCTATTTATACATCTGTTTCACTAGCATAGCAGACAAAATCTTTCAAACAAGAACTCAGATTTCTTTAGAATGGGCTAGTGGATTTAAAATCAGTAGTGCTGCACAACCCAGTGAATAAAAACATTAAATTTCATAAAAGGATGGTATGTGATGATGAGTTATGGTATGTGAATTGTATCTCAATAAGGCTGCCTTAAAAAAAATCAGTGTATGAATTAAACAACATTAAACTCTTTGCTTTTGAGTGATTTCAGATGGACTCCTTGCATGCATGACACTGCCAGCTAGGGAACCGGGCGCCTGGGCTGGACTCAAATCACCCCAGCCAGAGTCCACGTTGGTCCCCACCAGGAATAAGACCAGGGATAACAATGAGGGGCGGACCCTGTCCCCTTAAGGGTGCAAGGCAGGTACCCGGACAAACGCTTGGCACCTAAGGCAACCACAGACTTTTATTTTTATTTTTTACGTTGAGATTTTCCAGGACGCTCTTGGAAGTTTGAGTGCAAAAAAGTTGTCACGTAAGAAAAGGGCAATTTTGTTTTCTAGTCAATTACACGGACTTACAGATCTAGTTGCTAAACTTCACATGGCTGTTGACCCCTTCGAAGTGGGATTTTTCTTTTCTTTTACTTTTTTGGGGGGTATATTAAGAAGTGGGGGAAACCAAGCCGACGTTTAAAAGTCGGACTCCGATTAAATCCAGTGCTGGTTACAGGCTCCGGGGGTGCCGTCGGGCTGCGGCGGGGGGGCGAGACGCGGCTTTCCGCGACCCCTCGGACTTCTCCCGGCCTCGGCGGAGCGGCGGTCGGGCGCGCCGCGAGCCTCGCGGCCTCCCCCGGAGCGCGGCCGGGCGGGCGGTCACGTGGCGGGCGGCGGGCGCGCGGCGGCAGGAATGCAGGAACTCGCCGGGAAAGTTGGCTGCGGCGGATCCGGTGCGGGCGGGCGCGCATAGGAAGGAAGAGCCGCGAGGGGGCGGAGCCGGCGTGCGGCTCGGGCGGGCGCTTCTCTCAACTTTAGTTTGGGCGTCTGAGGCGAGTTTCTGTCTCAGTCGGGCGCAGCCGCCGCCGGGGAAAAGAAAGGGAGGAAGGAAGGAACACGAAAAGGAAATAAAGGCCAGAGGGGGAGGGGAGCGGCGACTCGCCGGCCGTCAGGGGAGGGAAGGCCCCAAAGTTCTCCGGCGCCGCCGGGCCGCGTCGCGCGGCCCCTCCTGAGGCGCAGCCGTCTGACCCGCGGGCCCGGGCGCGGGGTGCGGAGCCGGGCGGGGATGCGGGGCCGCGGCGCAGCCCCCGGGCCTGAGAGCGAGGACCGCGCCGCCCCCGCCGCTCCCGCCGCGCCGCCCGGCCCACCACCCTCGCCGCTCCCCCTCGCCGCTCCTCCCGTCTCGGCGCGTCGAGCCGAGGCGCCCGGGCGGAGCCCTCGCCGCTGTCGGGGTGCGCGTCGGGGGAGCCGAAGCCATGGATCCCGGGCAGCAGCCGCCGCCTCAGCCGGCCCCCCAGAGCCAAGGGCCGCCGCCCGCGCAGCCCGCCCCGGGCCAGGGCCCGCCGTCCGGCCCCGGGCAGCCGGCCCCTCCGGGCTCCCAGGCGGCGCCGCCGGCCCCCCCGGCCGGGCACCAAATCGTGCACGTCCGGGGGACTCGGAGACCGACCTGGAGGCGCTTTTCAATGCCGTCATGAACCCCAAGACGGCCAATGTGCCCCAGACCTTGCCCATGAGGCTGCGGAACCTGCCGGACTCTTTCTTTAAGCCGCCGGAGCCCAAGTCCCACTCCCGACAGGTAACTGCGCCCCCGCCCCGTCGCGGCCCCGGGCCGGGGCGCCCGCGGGCGGGAGGGCGGGGGGCGCTGAAGGCCAGGGTGGGGGCGGGGCAGGTCGGGGCGCGGCGCCCGCGGGAGGCTGAGTGCGGGGCCGAGATTTGTGTCTCTCCCGGGAGCTCCTCCGCGCGGCGGCCGCAGCGGGGAGCGTGCTGCCCCGGGCTTCCCTTCCTTTCTTTCTCTTCGGGGTTCCCGGGGCGGGGGGCTGGCACAATGCGCGCGCCTCCCGCGCTCCGCACCTTCGCTCGCGCGGCGGGCCGGACCGGGCCTGGCCGGGCGGGGGCGGGGGCGGGGGCCGCCGGCGGGGGAGTGGGGCCCGGGGCCCCCTGTCCCGCGGAGCCTCTTGGGCCCCCCCGGTCCCCGGGGGAGGCGGATAATTGTTCTCTTGTTTTCCAGTGTAGATTAGGGGTGGGGGTTGAGCCGCTCCGTTTCGCCCCCTCCCCCGCCCGCCGTCCCCTCCCCCTCCTGAAAGCGTGTGTTTTCCTGGGGCCCGGGCTCGGGCTGAACACAGGATCCAGACTTTCCTGGAAGTTGTTTGTGGAGTTGGTGCTTTCGCCGCGCCGCTGCCCCAGCGCTCCGGCCGGCGCTCGGGCGGCTCGCGAGTAGCTTTCGCCCGCGGGGGCTCTTGCAGGCCGCCCGAAGGCTGCTCCCCACCCCCCCCCCACCCCCCGCGTTGCGCCGGACCCACTAGCGCTTTCAGCGCCCTGGTTTTAACGCAAGCCTTTGATAATACACTGCAGGTTGACTCACAGGCCGAGTCCTGCCTAGTTCTGCCGTGATTAAAAGTTGATGTTTGGGAAGCGATGACTAATTCGAGGCTCGCCATTGCTTTTTCACTCTTATTGAGGATATGAGCATGGCTGTTTGGTGATTTTGTGGACTTGAGCCAACAGTGATATGAAGCTTATGAAAGTGTTAACATTCCGACAGGTCCCAGAAGATTTGTTTAGTGTGTTTTTTTTATTTTCTTTATTTCTTAACCCCCCCCACCTTTTTTTTTTTTTTTTTCCTTAAAGAACTTGCTTCTGGCTAAACTTCAGCGTAGGAACTTTGCCCGAAAGTTAATTGGTTTTCCAAATACTGCGATGTAGTTGGTCCACTCGGACTGTAACTTGAGTGGAAGGAAGAGTTCTCGCCCCCACTCCCTTTCTCCTTCCCATTTGCATGCCTGTTGTAAGTGCGCCTGTTGCATACCAAGGGGCTTTGGAACTCCGAAAAACTCAAACTCGCGAACAAAACCCGGGTTGAAGAGCAGGAACGAAAAACAATTAAGCTGCTTCTTTAAAATCTTCAGTTTGTAAGAGGTAGACTTAGTGTTCCTTTTTCTCTGACCACTCCAAGTGGGTTTCTGTGTGTTTAAATGTGTTGGCATTGCATCCACCATACAGACATCACAGCTCTGCTGGTAGTTCTTAATCTGCTTGAAAGTACAGGGCACGTAGGAGTTGAATCTCCCATTTTGTGGTATCTATATGCCAAAAAGAATTGCAGTTGAAAAGTAGTAAGTAATTGCAGTAATAAGTAAAAAATAAGTAGTAAGATTTTTAGCCAGCCGTCTGGATTCATACTACTCATAATATACTATAATTTTGTTTGTTAGTAAGTTTCTTACCTAAATGTTGTGTATCTCCAAGTTTAGCTTTTATTTCTGCCAGTGATTTTCTAATTCTAATTAACGTGATTGGAAACTTAGAAAATGTACACCATTTGACTGGAAGGCATAAATGTCCCAGCTGATTGCTTCCAGACTCCCTTCCTTGCCTCCTGTATGAATGAATCTAAGAGATTCAAACTTTTTTTTTTTTGGATAACGCTTAAATCTAATTAAGAAATTCAAATAATTATATCAGTTTAAGAATTGTATGAAAATGAGTTGTGAAATACTATTATCCACAAACTTACGGATACAAATTCATCTCTTCACACTCCCACATACTTAACATTTTCCATCATAAAAAAACAGGCTCACAGAGATCAAAATTATTGCCACACTAGCCAGTTTGGATTGAAACCCAGATATTTGGGGTCTCAGTACAAGTTTTTCCTACTGGTACACAGCTGTAATCTATGTGTGTGTGAGTACTTAAGTCATAATGTTGTTGAACTGTTGATATCTTTGTTGTCTAGATAGAGTATATGGTCGGGTTTTCCTTCCATTCATGAGATGGCTTGTGAGAACATTTAGATGGCTCTGCATTCATTAAAAGTTGTCTGACTGGATGTCATGTGTGCACAGTGAGAAAAAAAGATAATTGTGTCTAGGGCTTGGCTTAGGAAAAAAATTAACTATGTAAAACCTAGTTTAAAAACAAGGATACATAGTTAATTATATTCCTATACCTGGAATATTTTAAAGCTTGGAGTAGTGCCCATGCTGCCTTGGCCTTTTACAAATCAGCTTTTAAAATTCAGCATTTATTAGTTTAAGAATATTTCATTCTGTATTATCTGTCTCTAAAAGATGTTGAAAGTGTGTCTGTGTAGTAGATAGAAATTCACTCAGATGTACTGTTAAATAAAACTACAAGTGTTTGTAAAAGTATGTGTTTAAATTACATAAGTCATTTAAAAGTGTCTGTCTGCAAACCTGTATCCTTCTGTGCCAAATATTAAATGTTGAAATTTGTCATTAGCATTCAGAATTTCATGACAAGCAGACATCTGTCTAGGAAATTCTAAGGGACTCTTTAAAAATCATTTTTAAGAAATTCTCACTTTAATTTCCTTTCTAGGCCAGTACTGATACAGGCACTGCTGGAGCCCTGACTCCTCAGCACACTCGAGCTCATTCCTCCCCAGCTTCCCTGACGCAGGGCTCTGTGTCTCCTGGAACCCTGACTCCCACAGGAGTGGTCTCTGGCCCAGCAGCCACACCCTCAGCTCAGCACCTCCGACAACCTTCTTTTGAGATACCTGATGAAGTACCTCTGCCGGCAGGCTGGGAGATGGCCAAGACTTCATCTGGTCAGAGATACTTCTTAAAGTAAGTAGATTATTTTCTGAGAAAAGTAAAGTTTGGAAAAGAGAGTAAAGACATGAAACATCATGTCTTTTCTTTAATACATCATGTTTTTTTCTTTAATACTAATGTGAAGCTAAGTTTTTTTCCCCCCACAATTTTTTTTTTCCTGTTTGGAATGACCTGATTACCTTGTAATATTTTGAAAGCTTGATTGATTGAGAGCCTTTTAATAAATAATCTTTTTCTTTGTGGCAGTTTGGATATTCTCATTTTGAATTTGTGCCGAATCTGTTCATTAGCCTGGCTCGAAACTGAAGGAATACCCTGACAAATTTCAAATTGTGAGAATTATAAGGCTACCAAGATTTTATAAAATATATCTTTTAAAATGGATATTTTATTGCTAGAGATGAATCACCAAAATAAATTAAGACGTCTTTGGAAGTCTAATTTTACAGTATTTTAAAATGTGAAATGGTAAGCTCTGTAGTTGTAGTTTGATGAAAATTACCAGTTTTTTCCCAAAATGTAATGATAAATACAAAATTTCAGGTTTTATATTCAGTCACTAAGTGGCAAACATTTTTCAAAGTAGCGGTTTGAGAAGCAGTCTGGGAAAACAAAAAGGTCATTGGGTTATTTTTATTGGCCTTTTTTTAACAAAATGGTAAAATTTTATTAAAGCTGAGCAGAAACAATTTTATCCTCTAATTTTTAAGATCTTAACATTTTTATCTGACTTGTTGGATAAAGTGTATACAACTTAACTGAAAGTAATTATACTGAAATTGATGTTTTTGAAATGTTGCTTACAGAATTTTAAGGTTGCGATGATAGTGGAAAAGAATTCAAATTGTAGATTGTCTTGACAATCTACTAACGTAATCTGTCTTACAGATCAGATAATTTAATTAATGGTACTAATTTTTTGTATATTTCTTAATTAGTATTTTATGTTGATCATCTTTCAGGTTGGATTGTTACCTTGTAATATAAGGTTGAGTTCTGTGACAGGTGTATGTCGGAGGCGAGCAGAGGGAAAAGTTTGATATAGGAAAAGTTTCTAGTTTTTTGCCCCCTCTCCTGCAATTTTTTCCCTTTTTAAATTCGTTTTTTCTGGTGTCTTGGTATCCATTTCAAAGGGTCAGGTTTCAACCAGAACAATAAAGGGCCTGAGACTGGAAAGTACACACAAGTCTGGCAAACTCATCTGCATGAGCAAGATCATTTGTTCTCAAGCAGACGTCCAAAGTAAATGATTGAAAGAGCTGCTAGCTGTGAGGGATGTGTCTTGAAGGAAAAAGGAATGGAAACAAACCAGGTTGTTAGGAGGAAAAAGAAAGGCTGTACTTTTTTGAACCTCTCCCTGCTGGGTCACATGCTGGCCCAGGGAGGATTTTAAACAGTGTAATGGCCTGCTTGGCTGTTTTCTTTGGTTGTTGCTGTGGCTAAAAGTATAAGGTTAAAGATCAGCATTGATGCTCTTCTAGTCTTTGTACTTTGTTATAACATCTGCCTATATTTTAATTATTTTGAATGATCTTTTTGTTTTGAGCAGAAAGAAGTATTTTCTGCATTTATTTTTGTTTCCAGTGGATTTTACTCTGAAAAGAAATGTCTCTTAAAGATTCTGATATAGGTGGATTCATGAAGGGTTTACACACACACCCCCCACCATCACCCCATCCTGATCACCCCACTTGAGTGAGCCTGTGGGAAGATTAACAGATCAAAATGATACAAAAATTATACCATAGGCAGTGGTTGTTGGAGTGAAACTTATATGGAAAAGAAAAAACTTAAGAGGAGCAATGAAACATGATTGTCCTGTAAGTTTTTTTTTTTTTAAAGATTTATTTATTTATGCACACAAGAATTGGGGTATAGGCCAGAGTTGTGGAGGGTGAAGAGGATTCACCAGAGACAGAGTGGGGGACAGAACAGGCGGATTGAAATACACTGTATTGAAATACACTGCTGAGGGGAGCAGCAGGCTAGTCAGTAGAGGTCTGATGTGCCATGTGGGTAGCTCCCTGGCCGGGGACCGAACTCATGCTGCAGTGGCTGCAGATAGGTTAATAGGTTGCATTTTAACCCTTTGTGCCACCAGGGAGGTCCTGTCCTTTAAGACTTTTGAGGGACTTTCGCACAGGTGTAAAAGTAGGTTTATTACATGATAAGAAACATGAGGGGCTTTTTTTATTCCATTGAATAATTTTCTTGAATAAAACCTTTCAGAGGTAGATGGATCTGGTAGATGGTGGATCTCAGTCAGTAAAAGCAGGCAAAATCATGGATACGTTATTACCTGACAGGAATTAAATAGTGAGGACCCATAGTTCTGATGTGGAAGATGGGTACTACTACATATTGTTATGAAAAATGTCTGCTTTTTGAACAGTATGCAGTTTGGAGAAAAGTTATATGAAGATTAGTTCATATCCACTTGTTAGCTACTTCCATGATGTGGGCTATATGAGTTGACACAAACATACTTATTTTTGCTCACTGCACAGGCAAATGAGATTAATATCCTTCCTGGCTATGTGTCAAAGATGATAAGCAAAACTTTTGGGGCCAAGTTGCTCTTGTCAGAGTTCATTTTTATTATAGTTTTGAAATTGGGCTCTCTTTGCAGTCAGTCAATACTTAAATACGGTTTTTTTCTGTCTATAAAAGTTGCCAGATAGGTGCGGAATGAACATCTTGAACTAGGTGCATCCTGTACACTCATTTCAACAGTGAAAAATTATACCTTACTGTAACCTTTTAGATACTTGCTGCAACTAACTTACAACTTACGAAGTATGTAATTTATTGAGATTTATACTTTGCGGGAAGAAATCTGACCATAAGTGGTCCAGACATGCAAGGTGATGTAATTTGATTGAAAACTTAGAAATGTTGACTTTGGAAACAGCTTACTGACTTTTGGAAACATCTTAAGACCATAGATGAATGAATTTTGAAGTTGCCTGGCCTGTGTTTCAAGGTAGCATAATTACTGAGGGATTATAGGCAGGCAAGATTAGTATTTTTAAAGCCTTGCCAGGGTCATTTAGATCATCTGGACAAGACTTATACCTTAATTTGGCAAGTGGTGTGGTGGAAGTAAGGTACTGCCTGTATCTATCAAAAGCATATGCAAGCTTTGGTATGATGGTAAACTATATGTTAAAAAAGCTTATTAGTCTGTGTTTTGTATATTATTTTTCTACTGAATTTACTGGTTAAAACTAATTTTTCCAACATTGTATATTGAGCTTTTATTTAAAAAGAATTCTCTTTATTCTGAGAATTGCTGCATTCTTCAGCTGTCTTACAGTTTTCCTACAGGAAATACTACTTCAAGTAGTTGGTCAACAACTTCCTATTTCTTTATAAGCTGCTGAATAACTTCCTGAATTAGTGTTCTATAATATCTCTGGTTACAAGGAGTCTTTTTTTCTTCTCTGATTTATTTTATTGAATCTAATACCTTGTAACTATGAGCATGTACAAAGAACTTTTGTATACAGTGTAACATATCAGACCTTATATAATTTGATTTAAGAAATCTGATCCAGTGGTTTAAAAAGTTTGGAATTGTGTTACTTTTATACGGTTCTCTAATAGCTTTTAAAAGATCAATTTGTTTTATTTATCATTTTCTGAATAAGTGACCACAGTGTTTTTAGTCCTTGAAGAGCCAGGTTTTCTGTGACTGATTTGATTAAAAGCTATAGTGAATATCTTGATCCACAGTTTAAAATGGTATTTTTTCAGGGATTTCAACAATTCACAGTTTTATATCTTAGCCAGCATTCCAACATTCAGTGAACTAGCTTTGTGCATGTGTTGGTCACTATAAATGCTTTGATTCTCTTTTTGCCACATTCTTTACTTTTGAAACAGATGCTCCAGAATCTTAATTGAAGCTGCCTTTAAAAAAAAGTATCAATTAAAGGATGATTTAAACTGTTATGATTTGATCTTATTTATCTTCTCCCACTTAGGAAACTGCAAATTCATGCTATCTTTTGTTGCCACAATAAAAATTAGGTGTTTTAGAAAGGAACAGTTTCATAACGAATAATATGTCTATATTATATTCCGTTTTTTGATTTCTTATTCTATTAAATAAAACTTAAGTAAATGGTTTCCTTTTAAAAATGAGAAGCTTTATAATATTGTCTTTAAATGTTGATTAAGCTGCAGTAAACAACAAACAAACCAGTTTAAGTTGCAGAGTATTCCCCTTAGCTGAGGAGAGGGCCTCCTCTGTTTGTCTTGCTGTTGAGGTCGAGTGGAGAGAGATGAAAGTATGCCCTTAGCTCTCAGAAAAAATGCTTGCTTGTGCTCAGTGGGTGGGCATCCAGGGGAAGAATGGCCCGCAGTGCCACAGTGATTCAGGCAGAAAAACTCTGGAGGAACCCTTGAATATAGCGACAGAAGAACAGTTGGAAGATAGTGGATGTGACAGAGCAAATAGAATGCAGAGACAAATTAATTTATTTCCTGTGGAAAGTAATCAGTATTTTTAGTGTGAATTAAGAAAGATATTTAGTTATCAAACTAGATGTTTACATACTAGAAACTATTGGCTGCAAGAAGGTAAGCTAATTTTCTTTAAAAACTAACAATCAAAAAAATAATTCTTCCCCAAAACCTCATGTTAACTTTTAAAGCAAAACACACTTATGTAGTATTTGAATCATGGAAACTTAAAGTTTTTGCAATTGTGACATCATATTGAACTTTATAGTTAGAAAAATAATGTAAAGAAGCATCCTGAAATAGTAATAGGACTCAGAATTGCCTTTTACCTTAAGATGCTTGGGGAGGTGAACCTACACCCAACCTAATTTTCAGATGTCAAAATGTGTAACTGAAGGGTTAGGGCAAATCAGAGTGAAGTCATTTTAAAAATCAGTTGTTAAGATTTAAGATTATTCAAACTTAATTTGCAGCCTTTAGTAATAGCATAATTTAGTCATTAATTATGGCTTGAATGTTCAATAATAGCTGAGTAGCAGTATATA